ATAGTCAGAGTCTCACTCTGTTGCCCAGGCTGGAGTGTAGTGGCATGCTCATGGCTACTGCAGCCTGAACCTGGTAGGCTCCAGTGATCCTTCTGCCTCAGCCTTCTAAGTAGCTGGAACCACAGGTGTGCACCACCATGCTTAGTTAATTTTTTAATTTATTGTAGAGATGAGGTCTCACCCAGTTGCCCAGGGTGGTCTCGAACCCCTGGGCTCAAGCAATCCTCTCGTCTCCACCTCCCAAAGTGCTGGGGTACAGGCGTGAGCCACAGCACTTGATCTCTTCCCTTTATTTAAACAGGGCATGAAGCCAGGTGGTCTAGGCCCAAATGGTCACATGATCAATCACATCCAGGCCATGACTGGTGGTCAACATCTAGTCCCACTATCTCATCCAGCATGAAGGGAGTGAGCTTGGAGGGGCCGTCAAGATACTAGATCTCAGCCTCTGCTCATGTGTCAACTCTGGGATGCCAAGTGGGGTGGCGGTTCTTTATGTGCCTTTGTTCCTCCATCTACCAAGTAAAGGAATTGAATGAGGAGGCCTTTTTGAGGTGTAGTGATCTCAGATTTGGGGCAGCAGTGAATGATCCTGCTTCATGGGCCATGGCATGACCCAGGCTTGGCTGGACATGGCCCCCAGTCTCAGGAACACAGTCAGTTCTTGCCCCTAAAATCAACTAGTAAGAGAGATGCAACAGGGCTCTGTGCGTTTCTGTTTTCCAAACAAGACCAGGTGCATAGGGACAGAGAGTGCCATCACCTTTTAGGGGCTGACACTCAGAGAAGGGCCAGGGGCAGCCCTTTCCTGGTCAGCAGACATCAGACTGGGCAGACCACCACATTATACGAGCAGCTTTTCCAACAAGGGCAAAACCAAATGTCAATCCTACGCCTGTGGGAGGGGCTGCTGAGGCCGTCGGAGAATCCAAAGTTGGAGACACATTCCCTTGTTGAGCCTCTTTTTATTTTTGAGTCGGAGTCTCACTCTGTCACTCAGGCTGGAATGTAGTAGCATGATCATGGTTCATCACAGCCTCGACCTCCTGGGCTCAGGTGATCCTTTTGCTTCAGCCTCCCAAGTAGTCGGGCCTACACGTGCTTGTCACCACACCCCGCTAATTTAAAAATTTTTTGTAAAGACAAGGTCTTGCTATGTTGCCCAGGCGGGTCTCAAACTTCTGGGCTCAAGCAGTCCTCCCACTGTGGACTCCCAAAGTGCTGGGATTACAGGCGTGAGCTATCACACCAGGCCTGTTGAGCCCAGGACACCTCCACAACCTTCCATTGTCAGTGAAATGACATTGGTAATGGTGACACTCCACAGGTAGCAGTGTTCAGAGACAAGCTAAGAAAGGTCACACTGCAGACAGGAGACCATGTGACAATTCCCCCTCAGCTGGGTGTGGTAGCTCACCCCTGTCACCCCAACACTTTGGGAGGTGGAAGCGAGTGGATTTCCTGAGCTCAGGAGTTTAAGTCCAGCCTGAGCAACATGGCGAGACCTTGTCTCTACAATAAAAAAAAAAAAAAAAAAAATAGCCGGGTATGGTGGCACATGCCTGTGGTTCTAGCTACTTGGAAGGTTGAGGTAGGATTGCCTGAGCCCAGTAGGTTGAGGCTGCAGTGTCCATGAGCATGCCACCGCACTCCAGCCTGCACAACAGAGTGAGATTCTGACTTAAAACAACAACAACAACAAAACCTAAGACTCCCTCCTCCCCAAGAGAGCTGACCAGGCAGCCAATGAGGAGAACCACCTCCCGGGAGTCTGAGGAAAACCCAGACTTACCAGCCCTTCAGCCCCCTTGCTTGCAGTCTGTTAAAAGAGGCTTGCTCCCCTGGGAAGGCTTAGGGTAATGGCTGATGCAAGCACTCGGAGGGTGATCTGATGGCTGAGTGGATGTGGCCTGGTTCTCCCCAAGCTGCGCTCATTAAGGAAAGACCCACGTCACATGTATGTCTCCACCCCAGATGCAGCTTCCTTCTCTTTTTTTTTTGAGAAAGCAGGATTTATTGAGGACAGAAAAAGCTCCCATAGGGGAACTGAGGGGAACTGAGGGGGTTGCCCAGCTTTCTTCCCTTCTGAGGAAAAGGCCAGAGGGGGCTCAAAACACTCATACCCTATCTGCAGGCAGCAGAAAGGCTGACCCTGGCAGCGCCAAACCCCGGTCTGAGCAGAAACCACCCAAGACTTAGGAGTGCACGCAGAACAGTGGCTGCAGGTAAGAACAGAGGCGTAGACTGTGACCGGAGCCCTCCCTGCCCCTGGGCCCAGTATGACAAAGGAGTGCTGACCGGGCTGCCCAGTCTGCCATCTGTCCACCTGCAGGGTCAGGACAGCATCTCCCAAGCAGCAGCTTGACCTTCTCAGCCAAGGCCATGGTCCCTGCCCAGACCAGACTGCCCCATAATCGGTGGAGTTGCTGCTCCTGCATCCTCATGCTGCCCGGTGGGCGCTTGCTAGGGACATCTACCATGCCTAGGCCTGGTTTCTTTGTAGCTGCAGGGTGCTGTACACCCTGCGGCCTGATTCAGCAGTGAGGCCTCCTGGGCACCCAGCCCCGACACTGCGCTGGCCGCTGCTTGAGTCCCAACCCTGCCCCATCCCACCAGCTCAGGGGTTCTTCCCAGTGGTGCTGATCATGTTTTTTCTTTTTGATCCAGAAATCACCACTAAAGCAAGTCGTTTCAGGTAACTTTAATGAAAGTGTCAGCAGTCCTTTTCCCAGGGCGGTATATAGGCGGCTGAGCTCAAAGGCATGTTCGCAGCTGCTGAGACCAGCCACGCGCGAGGAAAGGCTGGGTTTCTCAGGGGAGGCCAGCCACTGCCCCTGACCCGACCCAGGACCCGAGGCAAGAAAGTACTTCTTGTTCAGAGTCCAGCAGCCACGCCTTGTGGAAGGTCACCCTGGGCCCCAGGCCTCTGCCCGCTTGCAGGGGGAGAGCTGAGGCCTCTCCTGGAGAACGCTGTACTCTCCAGCCTCATGTGGCTTTACTGACCCACAGGCCTGAGAAGCGTGAGGGCTAACAGAGGCAGCTCCAGATCCAGAGTGACCATTGCCCCTGAGGCCCGGCGGTGCTGGAGCACTTTACAATGACATGGGCAGAGTGGTCATTCCATCACTGGACAGCACACATCCTACATAAATAAAAAGTAAACGGGAGGGAGACGGCGAGGGAACAAAAATTGGCACAAACGTTGATATATTGCTTTCCAGTTTCAAGGTGACAGATGCAACTAATCAGACACCAGAGGAAACAAACAAGGGCTGGGTTTGGTTTTTCTAAGCAAAACGCGATCCCCTCGCAGGGCTAGAAGGTTGTGGAGACAAAGACAGGAAGCCGGGCCAGAGCAGCCCACTGTGCCCAGAAACACGCAGAGGGCAGAGGCTTCCATTTTTTTGGCCTCCCGGCCCAGGAGGGCACCACTGCTTTGAAACAGTGGCCCTGCTCTCCTAGTGAGAAAAAAAGCACAATGGAATCAACACCACATGTAGACATAAAACCTTCAGGTTGCTCCATCTTCTGCTCCCTGCCTCGGCAGGTCCGCAAGCAAACAGGACAGTGGGGGAGGGGGGCATGTGGCCCCAGCTGTCAGGCTCCCCCATGGGCTGCGGGCTCAGTAGGAACTGCCCATAGACACACAGGTGAGCCTCTTTCCCCTTGCCTTGGGAAAACTCGCAGGACAGTGCTGCACTGGGTACTGGTGTCGCCACAGGACAACCAACACACGTTTCCCTGAGTCCAGCCATGCTTCCCTCCTCTGGCTAACCGCATCCTCTCCTCCTGCCAAACCAGCATGGAAACTCTGTCTCTCAGTTTCCTCTCCTTTTGTCTCTCTCCCTGCTCCAAATCTCTCTTTGTAAAGAGATGACGTGCTGGTTCATGGGTTTGTTTCTTCAGAATACCTGGTTCCGTGCAGGTGGAGGGGGAAGGAGGGTGATGGGTGGCCTGTCCTTCTAACCTCTCTGGGGTGGGAGTCCTCTAGCCCCAGGCCAGGCCTATTCCTACGCCTCCATGTTGTCGATGCTCTAGAGACCAGAAATGACTGTGAAACAGAGCCGGTGCTCAGAGGAAGACGATATGCTGCTGGGACACGGACTGTCCACATACTGTACATTCTAATATCTTATTAGGTATCTGAATCTGTTAGGAAAAAAACTAGAAACTATGTATAAAACTTAAAAATATTCAAGTATCAAAAGGCTATTTCAGATCAAAGTTTTAAAACAAGCTATCTGCAAGCCGCTGCCACTGCCAAGAAGAAACTTTTTACAAAAGTTAAGTGAGTCTGTTCAGCTGAGAGCAAAGATGCGAAGCTGTCTGTGCTGGGGACACCTAGGGGAAGGGAGCGTGCGGGCAGAGAGAAGCCAGAAACGTCAAGACCTTTTTAAGCCAAAAAGGAGAGCATGTGCTGGGCGGGCAGTCTGGATCAGTGGGTGAGGTCGCTCTCCCTGGAGGACAAACTGTAAAGTGCACAGCCTGGGCCTCCTTTCCCTGGTGCCTGATGCCTGGACGTCACTGCTCTATGTGGAGGTAACTTCTGAGGAGGTGCACAAAAACAGCAAAAACAAAGCAACAGGGAAGAGCAGGAAGCAGACCCATTTCTGCAAGAAATCCTTCCAGAAAGAAAAAGAAAGCAGTGACTGGAGTGGAAACACAACATGGTGTTGACTTAGCTTCTCAAACCCTGTTATAAACGGAGTTGAATTTCTAAGTCAGGGAAATGGAAGAGCTCCCACCCACACAGGGATAGGGCTATGGCCCCCACAGTATGAAGCAGCAGCAGCGTTTATTCAAGACACAATAGTGAGGGAATCTGGTCGTGTTCCCTTCTCCCTGGAGAAGGTGCATCTTGACAAGTTATCCAGTAGAAATCTTTTTTTTTTTTTTT